ACAAACAAAAACTGAAAATAACAGATGTTGGGGAGGATGTGGAGAAATTGGGACCCTCATCCATTGCATGTGAAGATGCAAAAAGGTACAGCCAGTGTGGAAAACAGTTTGGCGATTTCTCAAAAAAGTTGAACGTAGAACTACCATATGACCCAGCAATTCTAATCCTAGGTATGTACCCAAAAGAATTGAAAGCAGGAATGCAAATAGAAACCTGTAAACCAATGTTCATTGCAGTGCTGTTCACTATAGAAAAAAAGATGGAGACAATCGAAATGTCCATCAACAGATGAATGGATAATCAAAATGTGGTAGATACAACAATGGAACTATTACTCAGCTATAAAGAGAAATGAAGTCATGATGTTGCTGTTAGTTGTTAGGTGCCATCAAGTTGGTTTCTGACTCAGAGTGACCCTGTGTACAACAGAACCAAACACTGCCAGGTCCTGCACGATCTTCACAACCGTTTTTATGCTTGAGCCCATTGTTGCAGTTACTGTGTCAATCCATCTCGTTGAGGGTCTTCTTCTTCACTGACCTTCTACTTTACCAAGCATGATTCCCTTCTCCAGGGACTGGTTCCTCCTGAAAACCTGTCCAAAGTATGTGAGACGAAGTCTCAACATCCTTACTTTTAAGGAGCATTCTGGCTGGACTTCTTCCAAGACAGATTTGTTCATTCTTCTGGCAGTCCATGGTACATTCAATATTCTTTGCCAACACCATAATTCAAAGGCATCAATTCTTCTGCGGTCTTCCTTATTCACTGTCCAGCTTTCACATGCATATGAGGCGATTGAAAACACCATGGCTTGAGTCAGGCACATCTTAGTCCTTAAAGTGACATCTTTGCTTTTTAATACTTTAAAGAGATCTTTTGCAGCAGATTTGCCCAATGCAATGTGTCTTTTGAGTTCTTCACTGCTGCTTCCACGGACATTGATTGTGGATCCAAGTAAAATGAAATCCTTGACAACTTCAATCTTTTCTCCGTTTATCATGATGTTGCTTATTAGTCCAGTTGTGAGGATTTGTGTTTTCTTTATGCTGAGGTGTAATCCACACTGAAGGCTGTGGTCTTTGATCTTCATCAGTGAGTGCTTCAACTCCTCTTCACTTTCAGCAAGCAAGGTCGTGTCATCTGCATAATGCAGGTTGTTAATGAGTCTTTCTCCAATCCTGATGCCACATTCTTCTTCATATAGTCCAGCTTCTCAGATTGTTTGCTCAGCATACAGATTGAATAAGTATGGTGAAAAGATACAATCTTGACGTACACCTTTCTTGACTTTAAACCACAAAGTATCCCCTCGTTCTGTTCAAATGACTGCCTCTTGGTCTAAGTACAGGGTCCTCACGAGCACTTAAGTGTTCTGGAATTCCCATTCTTCACAATGTTATCCATAATTTGTTATGATCCACACAATCGAATGCCTTTGCATAGTCAGTAAAACACAGGTAAACATCTTTCTGGTACTCTCTGCTTTCAGCCAGGATCCCTCTGACATCAGCAATGATATCTCTGGTTCCACGTCCTCCTCTGAATCCAGCTTGAATTTCTGGCAATTCCCTGTTGATATACTGCTGTAGCCACTTTTGAATAATCTTCAGGAAAGTTTTACTTGCATGTGATATTAATGATATTGTTTGATAATTCCCGCATTCAGTTGGATCGCCTTTCTTGGGAATAGGCATAAATATGGATCTCTTCCAGTCGGTCAGGTAGCTGTCCTCCAAATTTCTTGGCATAGACGAATGAGTACTTCCAGCACCGCATGCATTTGTTGAAACATCTCAATTGGTATTCTGTCAATTCCTGGAGTCTTGTTTTTCTCCAATGCCTTCAGTGCAGCTTGGACTTCTTCCTTCAGTACCATTGGTTCCTGATCATATGCGACCTCCTGAAATGGTTGACAGTGGACCAATTCTTTTTGGTATAGTGACTCTGTGTATTCCTTCCATCTGCCACCAGTATTCAAATACCAGCAGGGTCACTCTTGGTGGATAGATTTCAGCTGAGCTTCCAGACTAAGACAGACTAGGAAGAAGGGCCCGGCGGTCTACTTCTGAGAAGACTTAGCCAGTGAAAAGCTTATGAATAGCAGTGGCACATAGTCTGACATAGTGCCGGAAGATGAGCCCCTCAGGTTGGAAGGCACTCAAAAGACGACTGGGGAAGAGTTGCCTTCTCAAAGTAGAGTTGACCTCAATGAAGTGGATGGAGTCAAGCTTTTGGAACCTTCATTTGCTGATGTGGCATGACTCAAAATGAGAAGAAACTGCTGCAAATACCCATTAATAATTAGAACGTGGAAAGTACAAAGTATGAATCTAGGAAAATTGGAAATTGTCAGAAATGAAATGGAACGCATAAACATCGATATCCTAGGCATTAGGGAGCTGAAACAAACAGGCACTGGCCATTTTGAATCAGACAATCATATGGTCTACAACAAATCGAAGAGGAATGGTGTTGCATTCATCGTCAAAAAGAACATTTCAAGATCTATGCCGCAGTACAACGCTGTCAGTGACAGGATGATATCCATACGCCTACAAGGAAGACCAGTTAATGCGACTATTCATATTTATGTGCCAATTACTAAGGCCAAAGATGAAGAAATTGAAGATTTTTACCAATTTCTGTAGTCTGAAATTGATCGAACATGCAATCCGGATGCATTGATAATTACTGGTGATTGGAATGGGAAAGTTGAAACCAAAGAAGGATTGGTAGTTGGAAAATATGGCCTTTTCCCGAAAAAATCCTTCAATATTGCAACTCGAGGCTTGAATTTTTCTTCATTTCTTTCAGCTTGAGAAATGCCAAGTGTGTTCTTCCCTTTTGGTTTTCTAAGTCCAGGTCTTTGAACATTTCATTATAATACTTTGTCTTCTTGAGCTGCCCTTTGAAATTTTCTGTTCAGCGCTTTTACTTCATCATTTCTTCCTTTTGCCTTAGCTACTCTATGTTCACGAGCAACTTCCAGAGTCTCTTCTGACATCCATTCTGGTCTTTTCTTTCCTGTCTTTTTAATGACCTGTCACTTTTTTCATGTATGATGTCCTTGATGTCATTCCACAACTTGTCTGGTCTTCTGTCATTAGTGTTCAATATATCAAATCTGTTCTTGAGATGGCCTCTAAATTTGGATGGGATATACTCAAGGTCATATTTTGGCTCTCTCAGACTTGTTATAATTTTCTTCAATTTGAATTTGCATAGGAGCAATTGATGGTCTATTCCACAGTCTGCCCCTGGCCTTGTTCTGACTGATGATATTGAGCTTTTGTATCGTCTCTTTCCACAGATTCCTGTGTAGTCCATCTGGTGAGGTCCGCATGGATAGTCTATGTTGTTGAAAAACGATATTTCCAATGAAGAAGTCATTGATTTTGCAAAATTCTGTCATCTGACCTCTGGCTTCATTTCTATCACCACGGCCATATTTTCCAACTACAGATCCTTCTTCTTTGTTTCCAACTTTTGCATTCCAATCACCAGTAATTATCAATGCATCTTGATTGCATGTTTGATCAATTTCAGACTACAGAAATTGGTAAAAATCTTCAATTGCTTCATCTTTGGCCTTAGTATTTGGCACATATATACGAATAATAGTTGTATTAATTGGTCTTCCTTGTAGGCGTATGGATATTATCCTATCACTGACAGCACTGAACTTCAGGATAGATCTCAAAATGTTCTTTTTGACGATGAATGGGACGCCATTCCTCTTCAATTTGTCATTTTCGGCATAGTAGATTATATGATTGTCTGAATCAAAATGGCCAATATCTGTTCATTTCAGCTCAGTAATGCCTAGGATTTGCTATGAGCCAGAATCGACTTGACAGCAATGGGTAATGCCTAGGATATTGAGGTTTATGCATCCCATTTCATTTTTGACAACTTCCAACTTGCCTAGATTCATACTTCTTACATTCCACTTTCTGATTAGTAATGGATGTTTACAGCTGTTTCTTCTCATTTTGAGAAGACCACTTGTCTGTCAGTTTGTCATACTGTGGGGGTTTGCATGTTTCTGTGATGCTGGAAGCTATGTCACCGGTATTCAAATACCAGCAGGGTCACCCATGGCAGACAGGTTTCAGCCGAGCTTCCAGACTAAGACTAGGAAGAAAGAAGGACCCGGCGGCTTACTTCTGAAAAGATTTAGCCAGTGAAAACCTTATGAATACCAGAGGAACATTGTTTGATACAGTGCTGGAAGATGGGCCCCTCAGGTTGGAAGGCACTCAAAATATGACTGGGGAAGAGCTGCCTCCTCAAAGTAGAGTCAACCTTAATGACGTGGATGGAGTCAAGCTTTTGGGAAGTCCAGAAACTTGCTACAGAATGGGTGAAACTTGAAAACATTATGTTGAGTAAAGTGAGTCAGTCATAAAAGGACAAATGTTGTATGCTCTCACTATATAATAAGCAAATGTATAGCAACGAAAGTTTATTAGTGGTTAACAGGGGTGGGAGGGAGGGCAAAAAGGGGAGACATTGCTTATAGGGCACCACGTTTCTGTTAATGGTGGTAGAATAATTTGGAAATGGATGGTGGTAATTGTACAACATGATGAACATAACCAATGTCATTGAATTGTACATGTAAAAAATGTTAAATTGGAAAATGTTTTGTTATATATATTTTTACCAAAATAAAACATTTTTTTAAAAAAACAGCCAAGTGTTCTCATTCTGGTCTGCAGAAAGAGGAAAGAGGAAGCAGAGAGTATGCAGCTTCCTTTTACTCACAGAGCCACAATCACACATATGCTCAAGGACTCACCTGTCACAGAAGATATCAGTTCATCACTGTTTATTTGCACATATTGTATAAAAGTAGAAAAAGAAATATTTCTAATGGGTCAAAGTCAGGGCTGCAGCCCCATAAATAGGGGGAGAGGAAATAAATTAAGGCAGGGTTGGGTTTGGTGCATAAATAAGGTCTGGGGTCTCAGACGGGCTGGGGTGGGTCCAGTTCTCAGGCACACTGGTCCCCGCTGGTGACACATTTCAGGTCCCGTATGAGGAGGTGGAAGAGGTTGAACGTGACAGAGGTCTTGAGGCAGCTTTGGGACTCCTGCGGGGGAGATGAGTCAGTGGTCTCCCACTGCCCGGCCTCGGCCTCCTCCCTTACCCAGGGCCCTGGCATCTGCCTACTCCCTCTCACTTACCATCTTCATGGCCTCCTGGAGCCTGTGTAGCCAGCGGTGGAGGTGGCCCTGGGGTCTGGGGCCTGCTGTGGGCTGAGCTGGGACCTGTAGGCAGAGGACAGGGGTGTGTGAGGCAGGCCTGGGCAGAAGGGTCCCACAGGGCCAGAGCCCACAGAAGGGTCTTGGGTGCCCTGAGGACTCACACAGGCCAGGATCTTGGAGTGGATGTGGTGCAGCATGTGAAGGGGCTGTTCCAGGACAGCCCCCAGGGCCGACTCAGCCATGGTCTTCAGGACCTCCAGCTTCAGGGCCAGCTCAGCCTCTAAGGCCACAGGGCACTCCCACACCTGAGGACAGGAGACAGAAGACAAGTGAGCATTGCACCTGAGAGAGAACAGGTGAGGTGGGCAGATGAGTGAGGATCGAGAAAGGAACAGGTAAAGGTGACAGATGAGGGACAGGTGAGAGCACAGCTAGTGTGCTCAGGTGAGGGGAACAGGTAAGGGAGGACTGGGATGGGGGAGGAAGAGAGGGACAAGTGAGCAGTGGTGAAGGGCCCATAAGGTGCAGGATGAGCAGGGCCAGATGAGGGCAGGTGTGGCCCTGGCTCTCCCAGCTCACCTGCAGCTGCCTCAGGTCCCAGGTCCTGGGGAAGAGACGGGAGCTGCAGCTCCAGTTCTTCAGCAAGAGCGAATCCTCTTAGAGAGCAAGAGTGGAGGTTAGCTCACAGCAGCAGGGATGAAGGTTAGACTACTCTGGCAAGACTGGTGGATGGCTAACAGCAGGAGGTTAACCCACAAAGAGATGGTAGAGACTCCTCCATTGTGGAGGACACGGGGTGGCCCACTGCAGTAAAGCAGATCACACAGTGAAGAAAGGGTGGAGGTTAGCCCAGTGAAGGAAAGATGAAGGTTAGCCCAGTGAAGGGAGGATGGATGTTAGCTCAGTGAAGGAGGTAGCAGTGTGCAGCAGGGTTAACCCAAGTGGATGGGGTGGAGGCTAGCCCACAGTAAAAAGACAGAGGGAGACTCACAAAGGTGTCTTTGGCCCTCTTGAAGGCCTGTAGCTCCTGTGGGGACAGAGACTTGAACTAGGCAATGTGGCAGCCCCTTGCATCCAAGAGGGTCCTACTGGGTATGGGGGTGGGAACTGCTTCTGTCATGGTCAGCATTGTAGCCATCAGCACCAGCGTCAGCAGGCAGCCCACGGCCTTCTCTGTGTAATGGAGGGATGGGGAGATGAGGGGATGGAGAGATGAGGGGAATGGAGAGATGAGGGGATGGAGAGATGAAGGGATGGAGAGATTATGGGATGGGGAGACCAGGTGCTGAGCATGGAGTCCGGGGAGAGCTGAGGGTCACGGGTAATGGCAGAAGGGAGGGCTCACCCAGCTTCATTCCTGGTCTCCTCTCTGTCAGCAGGAGGATGATTCAGGAGCTGCTCTGCAGCTCTGTCACCAGGGGTCTCTCACTTGGTCTTGCTCAAGGTCTCTGACCTCAGTCTGGTCTTCTAGGTCTTAGCCCACTTGTTTGTCACTGGCTCTGTGTCTGAATTTCCAGCTCTGTCTGCGATACAACTGCTGCCGGAGCCGCATGGTATACCTTTTAGCCTGAATAGACTGGCAATCCCAGCTGATGCAGGAAAAGTGAAAACAGCCTCAGGGTGACACCCGCCACCAGGGGAAGCCCCAGGCTGGGAACATCAGAGCAGGGCAGGACCACGTAAGGTAGGTGACTCTGGAGTGAAAGAGAAACTGACAGGGACTCTGTTCATTCCGCGATGGTGAGGTGAGGTTATGATCAGGACAATCCTCATGGCTGGGGCAGCTTCAGCCTGAACAGGAGGGCCCTTAGGTGCTCAGATTGGGCAGGGGGGGATGGGAGTGGGGGCTTGTCTTCCTGCAGGCCACCCAAACGTGCGGAGGGAGGGTGAGGAGACACCCAGGAAGTATCTCCATGAAGGGGCTAGAGACTTCTAGAGAGAAGCTGCTTAGGGGGAGGGACTGGAGAGGAGACCCAGGGAGAGGGACAGTGTGGGGTGGGAAGAGAGACACAGTCAGGAAGGACAAGATAACCAAGTACAAAGAAAGGAGCAGACAACCCCTGTCCTCCCTCACCTGACACCAATAGTGGGAGGGGAACCAAGTGACTGCAGAAAAAGTCAGGTGCAGCTGAAGTCTTCACAGGAACCAGATTGGGTGAGACCAGCCCATTCCTTCCTTCCTTCCTTCCTTCATTAACTCAGCAAGTATTTACTGAGCAGCTGTTATGGACTGGGCTCTGTTCGAGACACTGGGGACCTAGCAGTGAAAAAAATCACAGAAACTCCTGCCCCTCATAGAGTTGACATTCTCATGGGAGGGTCAGACAATAGCAGAATAACAAATTGAATATATATGATATCAGGCATTAAGAAGTGCTTTTGAAAGAAATTAAACAGGGGATGGAGTCTGGAGTGAGGTCAGAAGTGGCCTGTTAAACAAGACAGTTGGTGAAGGTGAGATCTGAAGGAAGACTGGAGGAGGGGCGGGAGGGAACCATTAGGACATCTGGGGAACAGCATCCCAGGCAGTGGGAACAGCCAATGCAAAGTGACTACCACGACAGGTTCTCTTGTTGGCACCTCCCTGTTCTCTTAGATGTTACTGTAAACGGAGTGGTTTTCTTAATCTTTTCAGATTTCTCATCACTGGTGTATAGAAATCCGACTGATTTTTGTGTGTTGACCTTGTATTTTGTAACTTTGCTAAATTCCTTTATTAGCTCTAGAAGCTTTCTTGTGGGATCTTTGGGATTTTCTATGTCTAGGATCATGTCAACTGCAAATAGAGATAGTTTTACTTTTTCCTTTCCATCTTGGATACACTTTACTTCTTTTTCTTGCCTTATTGCTCTGGCTAGGACTTCCAATACAATATTAAATAAAAGTAGTGATACTGGGCATCCTTGTCTCAGTCTCATTCTCAAGGGGAAGACTCTCAGTCTTTCTCCATTGAGTATAGTGTGACAGTTTGTTTTTCATATATGCTTTTAATTATGTTAAGAAATTTCCCTTCTCTTCTTATTTTGCTGAGAGTTTGTATGAGGAAATGGTGTTGGATTTTATCAAATGCCTTTCATGCATCTATTGAGATGATCATGTGGTTCTTTTCCATTGTTTTATTAATGTGGTGTATTACATTGATTTATTTTCTAATGTTAAACCATCCTTGATTTCCTGGAATAAATACCATTTGGTCATGGTGCATAATTTTCTTAACATGTTGAATTCTGCTTGATAGAATTTGGTCGAGAATTTTTGCATCTATATTCATGAGGTTTTCACTGACTAATTCTTTTCAGACGTAGACAGCTGAGTCCTTCTTCTTAGTCTGGAAGCTCCGCTGAAACCTGTCCACCATGGGACTCTACTGGTGTTTGAATACTGGTGGCATAGCTTCCAGCATCACAGCAACACGCAAACCCCCACAGTACAACAAACCGAAGATCACTCGAAAGTGGATGCAGCAGTACATCGACAGAGAACTGCCAGAAATTCAAGCCGAGTTCAGAAGAGGACGTGGAACCAGGGGTATTGGTGCTGATGTCAGATGGATCCTGGCTAAAAGGAGAGAATACCAGAAAGTTGTTTACCTGTGTTTTATTGACTATGCGAAGGCATTTGACTGTGTGGATCATAACAAATTATGGATAATGTTGTGAAGAATGGGAAATTCCAGAACACTTAATTGTGCTCATGAGGAACTTGTATGTAGATCAAGAGGCAGTCATTTGAACAGAACAAGGGTATACTGTGTGGTTTAAAGTCAGGAAAGGTGTGCATCAGGATTGTATCCTTTCACCATACCTAGTCAATCTATATGCTGAGCAAATAATCTGAGAAACTGAGCTATATGAAGAAGAATTCAGCATCAGGATTGGAGGAAGACTCATTAACAACCTGTGTTATGCAAATGACACAACCTTGCTTGCTGAAAGTGATAAATGGAGAAAATATTGAATTTGTCAAGGATTTCATTTTACTTGGATCCACAATCAACACCTATGGAAGCAGCAGTCAAGAAATCAAAAGATGTATTGCATTGGGCAAATCTGCTGCAAAAGACCTCTTTAAAGTGTTGAAAAGCAAAGATGTCACCTTGAAGACTAAGGTGTGCCTGACCCAAGCCATGGTGTTTTTAATTATCTCATATGCATTTGAAAGCTGGATGATGAATAAGGGAGATCCAAGAAGAATTGACACCTTTGAATTGTAGTGTTGGCAAAGAATATTGAACATACCATGAACTGCCAAAAGAACGAACAAATCTGTCTTGGAAGAAGTACAACCAGGCTGCTCCTTAGAAGCAAGGATGATGAGACTACGTCTCACATACTTTGGACATATTATCAGGAGGGATCAGTCCCTGGAAAAGGACATCATGCTTGGTAGGGTAGAACGTCAGTGAAGGAGAGGAAGACCCTCAGTGAGATGGATCGACACAGTTGCTGCAACAATGGGCTCGAGCACAGAAAGGATTTTGAGGATGATGCAGGACCAGGCAGTGTTTTGTTTTGTTGTACACAGGGTTGCTATGAGTCAGAATCAACTCGACAGCACCTAACAACAACAACATACTCATGAGCGATATTGGTCGTAATTTTCTTTTCTTGTAATGTCTTTATCTGGCTTTGTTATCAGGGTAATGCTGGCTTCATAGAATGAGTTACAGAGTATTACTTCCTCTTCTATGTTTTGGAGGAGTTTGAGTAAGAATGGTGTCAATTCTTCTCTGAATGTTTGGTAGAATTCCCTAGTGAAGCCATTTAATCCTTGGCTTTTTTTGTTTGTTGGGAGGTTTTTGATGACTGGTTCATTCTCCTCTCTTGTTATGGGTCTGTTGAGATTTTGTACTTTTCATTGTGTTAGTTTACGTAGGTTATGTGTTTCTAAGAATTAGTCCATTTCATCTAAGTTTTCAAGTTTGTTGGAGAATAATTTTTCATAGTGTTCTGTATGATCCTCTTTCTCTGTTTGATCTGTTGTAATGTCTCCAATTTCATTTCTTATTTTGGTTATTTGCATCTTCTCACTTTTTTTCCTTTGTAAGTCTAAACAGTGTTTTGTCTATTTTATTGATCCTTTCAAAGAAGCAACTTCTGGTCTGGTTGATTCTTTCTATTGTTTTTCTATTCTCTAATTCATTTATTTCTGCTCTGATCTTTATTATTTCTTTTCTCTTGGTGGCTTTGGACTTCTTTTTGCTCCCTTTTCTATTTCCTCAAGTTGTAGAGCTAAGCTATTGTTTTGGGATCTTTCTTCCTTTTTAATGTATGCATTTATTGCTGTGAACTCACAGCTGAAATTGAAGAGGACTTGAAGCACTTTACTGATGAAGATCAAAGACGACAGCCTTCAGGATGAATTACACCTCAACATAAAACAAATATCTTCATAGTGAGGATTAAAGACAGTGAGATTAAAGACAAAGACTCTGAGCACTGCTTTCATGGGGTCCCAAAGGTTTTGGTATATTGTGTTTTCATTTTGTTTGATTCTAAGTATTTTTAAATTGTATTCTTGATTTTTTTCTGTGACTCATTGCTTTTTAGTAGTGTGTTATTTAGTTTCCATATATTTTTTTTCCTTATTCTTCATTTTGTTGATTTCTAGCTTTATGGTCAGAGAAGACGCTTTGTATGATTTCAACCTTGTAAAATGTATTGAGATTTGCTTTGTGTCCTAAAATATTATCTATTCTGGAAAACGATCTATGTGCATTGGAAAAGAATGTACATTGTGCTGCTGTTGGGTGGAGTGTTCTTTGTATGACTGTTAGGTCCAATTGGCTAATAGTGTCATTTAAGACTTTTGTTTCTTTATTGAGTTTCTTTCTAGTTGTTTTATCCATCACCAAAAGTGGTGTATTGAAGTCTCTTACTATTATTGTAGACCTGTCTATTTCTCCCTTTAATTCTATTATAGTTTGTTTTAAAAATTTTGGGGCTCTGACGTTAGGTGTGTAGGTATTATAATAGTTATATCTCTTGATGAATTGATACTTTTGTCATTATATAGTGTGTTTGATGTCTTTTATAATGGATTTTGACTTAAAGTCTATTTTGTCAGATATTAATATTGCCACTCCTGCTCTCTTTTGGTTACTGTTTGCTTGGAATGTTTTTTTTTTCATCCTTTGACTTTTAACCTATTTATGTCTTTGTGCCTAAGGTGTGTCTCTTGTAGGCAACATATGGATGGGTCATTTTTTTTTTTTTTTTTAACCATTCTACCACTCTCTGTCTCTTGACTGGAACGTTTAATCCACTTACATTCACTGTAACTATCTGTAGGGGGGATTTACGTCAGCAATTTTATTATAAGTTTTTTTGTAAGATTAATGGCTTCTTTGTTCCTC